GAGTTGGAATCCACACGTGCTGGCTGGGGAATTCTGGGAGTTGGAATCCACACGTGCTGGCTGGGGAATTCTGGGAGTTGAAATCCACACGTGCTGGCTGGGGAATTCTGGGAGTTGGAATCCACACCTGCTGGCTGGGGAATTCTGGGAGTTGGAATCCACACGTGCTGGCTGGGGAATTCTGGGAGCTGAAGGCCACACCACCGAAAGTTGGGAACACTGCTCTGCTCTAGAGCGATGCCCGAGAGCTCGATCGAAGGGGCCATCTGCGAATAACCCTCTTTTTCTCGCGTCTTTCTCGCCCCGGGCAGATCACTACACCCAAGTGCTGAGCTGCAGGCAAGGCTGCGTGACCGAGCTGGCGCTGGAGGCTGGCCACGAGAAGCCCGTCAAGGACTTCCTCCCGTCGCACTTCGACTACCTGCAGTTTGCATATTACAACAGTATGTGGGGGGGGGCTCCATGAACTGCACCCCCCTTCAGCTCACGGGACGGTGGCTGCCTTTAAACTGAGTTTTCTGGCGTGTTGGCTTCTCGCTGCCGCCAGCTTGGTTGGAGGGAGGTGGGAAATCCTGCGTTTCAGTGGGATCTTTTGACTCCGTCTCATCTCCAGAGTGACCGGAGGACCGGGAACAATGAGGAGGCCCTCTGAGCGTGGCCAGGGGCTGGGGACGATGGGGTGGCAGACCCACAACATCTGCTGATGAAAGGCATTGTCCGTCAGATGCAGCCTGATGTCAGATGGACCCTCTGCCCATCCATAAAGAGAATTTCCTTTCCGAAGTGGGAGAGTGTCCATCAGCACCCAATAAACAAGCAATGCTGGTTACATTAAACCAGTGACATCCCTGCTTGGTCCAGCTTTCAGCTTAGTGGGTGGGGCGAAGCCTTGTCTGTGGACTATGGTGGCTTAATACGCCTTGCAAATCCAGCCCCTCCGGCTTGGCCTGTAAAGCGTAAGTGAATCGTCCTTCCCTTAAATTAAGATTTGGAGTTACTTCTACAGCGTCTCTCCTGGCTTTCTGCTCCTTGGGGCTGATTTGGAAAGGGAAACGCGGATTTTGAATACAGCGCTGAAATGGAAAGACGGTTGAGATCATTCTCAAATCTGACCTTGATTCTTCCATTCTCTGCTTTAAGAAACCTCTAAGGCTGTGTTTCTCAACTTTGGCAGATGTGTGGACTTCAACTCCCAGAAGCCCCCAGCCAGCATGCTGGCTGGGGAATTCTGGGAGTTGAAGTCCACACATCTTCAAGTTGCCGAGGCTGAGAATCACTGTTCTGAGGATTTTTTTTTTTAACGTGACTTCCA